ACCCATTAGATATTTTTTCCCGTGTGAAATGAGACCAATAGGTAGTAATTTGGGGAGGGTTAATTTGGGTTCAGAAAGCATTGTTTCAGTATCCACATAGAGAATTGTTTCATTTTACTCTCCACAAAGCAAATTAAGCAGCAAAAGTGCCTGATTTTAAGAAGCTTTCAGTAGAATCAGCACCTCAACACATTCTGTGGTGGAGATGGTGGACATAAGTATATGAATTTACACATGTCCTTCTGTTTAAGAATACCCATCCTGCTTGCTTTCTGGGTATCTGCACCTGCATGTACTGTGTCCCCACACACTCAGGTCAGTAGTTTTTGAGAGAGTAGACGCTGGGTTCAGCTGCTTCTAACTCCCCATATGTACAATACTATGATTCAGACATGGATCCACCAGGTATGACCTTTGGTGGGCTGGTTTTCCCCTCTTTGAAAGGACCCATAAGAATAAGTAACAATAGGGTATTGTTCATTTTATGATTAAGAATGTTTTATATTTGCCTTATCCTGAGCATAAAAGTGATAATATATCCCCATGTATTAGCTGCATTAAAGATCCAGCGAATACAAAGAATTCAAAAGTTTGAAGTTTTAAACCCTATGCAGTATATATTTTTTTAACTTGACAATTTATTTCTTGGAATGAAGTCCCAGAAAATAGATGGAAAAAATACTCCTGCCCAGAATAAAAGGACTCAGACTAGATGGGATATCTGAAAAAATAGGAGATCTATATTTTATTTTTTCCTGAAATATTTAATTGAGTGCCAACAATTTAAGAACCATACAAAAATTCCATTTCTGAAGATTACTGCCTGCATAAAGCAGGGCTGTAGTCAGAAATGCAGAGGTCAAGTTAGTGATACACAAAATCAAACTCAGATTTACTTTTAGCTGCCTCTTGCATCAGTTTTCATGCTAGAATTCTGGCATCCCACCTCAGGTGTTTCTCCAGCTATTTCACCCCACATTCAATTTAAGTAAATTTTCTCTTAATGAACATGAATTAATTAGTGGGGAAATATTGCTGTATTTCCAAGAGTACATTCAGTTCATACAGAAGATCATGTTCCTGGAAAACATGCTCTAAGTGAAATGATTGGTCAAATTGAACGTTTTAATATGCAAACATTGTTATAATATGATCTCAGACTTTTTAATCAAAGGCTAAATGCTAACTTTTTAAAGAAAAAAATCATTAGAACATAGCATAGAACTTTGTGTTTTCAGTGCTTAGGTCTAGTTATTAGCAAATTTTCATTTACCTGCTTAGTCTGCCTTCCTTTGCTTGGTCTCGTTGGCACCAGGTTTGCCAACTGTAGCCCTGAGGAGCGTGATTCCATTCAGCGTCCTCCAGACAATGTGTATTTTCCTACATAAGAGAAGACATTGATTCCAATGTCAAAGGACTCAGGAAAACTAATCTTTTTTTTCGTATGTCCAGCTGTACTTATTTCAGGGAAATGTACAGTAATAAAAAGGAGGTGAGGAGCCAGCCCGGTGGTGTAGTAAATTTGCATGTTCCACTTCCACAGCCTGCGGTTTGCATGTTCCATTCCTGGGCTTGGACCTACACAGTGCTCATCAAGCCATGCTGTGGTGGTAACCCGCATACGAAATAGGGGAAGATTGGCACAGATGTCAGCTCAGGGATAATCTTCCTCACCAAAGAAAATTAAAATTAAAAAATAAATAAATAAAAAGGAAGTTAAATGAAATCCTTCAATTAGTTTTTCAGAAAGCCACCAGCTGGCCCTAAATCACTAATTTTTTCCAAAACCTTCTCAAAAATGTTACTTTGAATTCTGGAAAGGGTACTCTGGATTGCTCTGTAAAGTTGAAGACATGCTATGTCTTACAATACATAATGCAATGCAATACAATACAATACAATACAATACAAGCAATAACATGGCAACGATGTATCAGCAGCAATGTTAGATGTTGCCCTGCTTGATATTACACAGACTCATTCATTTGCCCATACACAGACTCATTCATTTGCCCGTCTGCAGGTTGAATGTATCACAGGAAAGGCCCTTTGATGGATAAACCTGTAATAGAAAGTATATGCCTCAGAAACAAGGTTTGAAAGTTTTATGGAAACCATGGGAAACATTGATTGTAATTTTCTTTCCATAATGGGCTAAAATATTGATTGGAAGCCAAAGGAGAAGCTTTTTATTCCTTCCTTGTGCTGAGACTGAGAGGAAAGAAGGAGAGCAAGAAGTTCAGGACGGGACTGGCCCTGTGGCCCAGGGGTTAAGTTCTTGCGCTCTGGTTCGGTAGCCTGGAGTTTCGCCGGTTCGGATCCTGGGGGCGGACATGGCACCACTCATTAGGCCATGCTGAGGTGGCGTCCCACACAGTACAACCAGAGGGACCTACAACTAGAATATACAACTATGTACTGGGGGGCTTTGGGGAGGAGAAGAAAAAAAAAAAAAAAAGAATTGGCAACAGATGTTAAAAAAAGTTCAGGAAAAGCAACTAATGCCTGCCCTCCAGTAATTCTAGGCAGGCGTTTGTGTGGTAGCTGGAAGGCAGTTTGCCCCGAAGCTGCATGGGGCGTGAAAGGTTTGACCCTGCGATTGAGGGAGCGTAAAGAAAGACTCGTTCTGTTCACGTTAAAATTAGGTTTGGGAGAAAGTGCTGATAGAAACAGTATCATTCACTAATCAAATAAAATTTTGCTCTTTGAGACTATTTTCTTCTTTAATTTTTATGCTGCTTAATAAATTGTTTTCTTTTTTTTTTTAAGATAGAGACAAAAACAAATAGGCTAATTTATCCTTCAGGGACTGGAAAAATGACAAATGATTTTAAATGATTATAAGTTTCTAAGTAGGTTATCTGTGATAACTTCTAGAAAATCAGTGAGAAGTAGATAAATGGGTTTCTGAATACCAAAGTTACAAACTTTCAGTTTCGAAAGAGTCCGCTCAAAATCTCCAAATCTCCCACAGCTTGGTGTGTTGCGTGGAGCTGACTCATTTCCTGTGAGAGTAATCAGTAGTGTCTGCTAGTTATCTTGGGGTTTAGAATTATGTTTACAAAACAAATTCTTAGGCAGGAAAGAGCGGGGACCAATTAGCACTGGCCATAGGAAAACATAACATTTTATTTACAATAATCGTGAAAGCTGTGTCCACTAGAGAGTGAAACAGTCTTCATATCATAGCTTTAGAGATTTTTGGTACCCATTAACAGCGTTTCTGACCTAGCCCGAGGTGGGACTTTAAAAGTGCCAGTGTGTGGAGCACATACTGCATGGGAGTGGGCTGTGAACAAAGAAAAAGAGAAAGAGGTGCTGTCACTACTTTTTTTTTTCCAAAAAGTATTTTTGGCATGTACACTGTATCAGTGTGCTTTACTGGATTACACGCCACATCTCGTTATCGTGTGTCACTTGTAATATGATAGAAAACATTATATTGGACCAACCGATGAAAATAATTCTGCTCCTATGGACAAGTGGACATACTTCTGTGATGAGTAACAGAAGCTCAATTTGCACAGAATGTTCCCTGGTGTCAAATACTTAATGTGCTTTTACTCTCACTTTACCAGATGAAATGGGAAGTTTCTAATACATTTGTGGGATGCCTGAGGTCTCGAACTATAACAATTTTTTAAAGTCACAGAAATATATTTATTACGTAGATGAGTATGTTGCATTTCATTGATGCTTCAACACAATTACATTCAGCAGCAAAGTTTTGCTTTTAGTGTTTAGTGTGTTCCGTGATGATGATGGTTATACTGTGGAATACATAGATAATTTAAGAACAGCCTTCATCTTTAAAATAGTATGTGTGCATGTACACCTCCAGCAAAAATGACGAAAACTTTCCAAAATGTGTTTGTTAATAAAATAATAAAAATCTCTTTAGATTTAGACAAAATATATTGTTGCTATTTTAAATTTTGAAGAATTGATTTTTTCTTTACATATTTGAATTTTATTTAAAAGTTCTGAGAAATGATATCTAACTTCATTCTAGGTAATGCTTAAAAAACTGTTGTCTTACGAATGAATTATAAATGTTTGCTAGAAATAAAGGAGGCCCATAGAATTGTCAATTATTTTGAGCTGTCTAAATCTGGAAACTCAGAAGCTTAAGTCAATTCCTATAAGTAGCTAAGTTCCTAAGACTCCACTGAGAATATGCACACCCTCCCAAGAGTATTTCCTTCTAGTGGGTGTGCTGTTTACAAACCAGGCTTGTCAAAGCGATGACCTGTGAAGTACAGTAGTGGAAACCAATGAGCATCTGCTGAAAACCTTTCTCTCCAAGATAGGAACCAGATGAACTAAAAATTCTCCTAAGTAATTGTTTCGAGGAAAATGGCATTAAGTCTTCAAAATTGATTTAAAGGCAACCAACAGACATGAGCAAGAAAGTCAGCATGCTCATATATATATATATATTATATGCATATATATTCACTTTTTAGATAAGGTCACTTATAGCCAGAATTAAATCTTTTCCATAAGACAGTGTAGGGAGGTGGTTAGGGCACAGAGCTGAAGTGAGTGAGTTTGAACAATACCAGCTCTATCTCCTATCTGTAATAAGGTGGTTATAATAGTATCTACCCAATAGGTTTGTTGTAAGAACAGTGCCTGCCCATAAAAAGCCTAAGTCAGACTTTAACATTGCCCAGGGGTTTGAAAAAGAGAAAATGCAGTAGGGTACTACATAGCATGTGGGGCACCATGGGCCGTGGAGTTAGACAGCCCTCAACTCAAATCCCAGGTAATGCTACTGGTTGGGTGGGCAACCTTGAGCCTGTTACTGAACCTCTCAGAGCGTCCGTTTCCTTATTCTTAAGTTGAAGTCCTAAAGCTGCAGGTGTGGGAGGACGGGGTCAGCAGGAAGCCCTGCGCCTGACTGACATTCGGCACAGCGAGTTCTTAAAGACTGCAAAAATGTCTTTATTCGTTTGTTTTTTATGGATAATAAAATTTATTCTGTGTGCTTCTTTTAGGGTGAAAATGGTTTACATGGAGCTCCAGGCTTACCTGGTCAAAAGGTAAAGAGGTTTTGAATGTTTCACATACATTAAGAATTTTAACATCTTGAAAATTGAATTCGCACATAATATGGTGAAGATTCAGAAAATGTATTTAATGAAACTGAATTCCCTAAAAGACTCTTTAGAAAGCCACTAACCAGTCTTTCCAAAGAGAACCCCTGGAAGCAATCCCTTCCCAAAGGGACCACTCAAGGAGGGGGCTCCGTCCGAGAGCTTGGGCAAGGTGCTTCTCCAGAGAAGTCAGCAGCCGTACTTCCGGGGGCCGTGGGAGTGCACAGAGCTGCTCTGGAAATGTTTTCTCTGCCATGAATCAGAGTCTAAATTGAAGAATGGAGTGGTTTTTACTCTCTTTGACTGTATATTGTTATTTCTTGTTTATCCTTCTTTTAATCCCAGATTGGGTTAAACATAACAGTTATAATGACAGAAAATATTGAATGTTGCAGAGATGGTACAACTAATCTCTTCCAAAAATATCTTTCTTTCAGAATGACTAATTCATAATAAATAAGGATTTGTACAGTGACTAGGTTGCTTCTTTCTGTGCCTAGTGTCTTTGTCTTTACCAAGGGGAACTTCGTCTGTACCCTTTTACTGTCCAAGGGCGGCCTTCTCCTCCTGGGAAGGAGTGTGACTGTATGTGGCAGCATTGCTGGAAACACAGAGACTGGTCTACTCGTTTCCTGGAGGGCTGGGGAGCCACTTCAGGTGGGGCCAGCTGTCACCATACCACCCAGATAATCCCCCCACAGGGGAGAGCTTTATGATGCAAGATTAGATGCCTGCCAGAGGCAAGCGTGTCATATCCATGCTCTGGAGAAGTTTTACAGGTCTTAACAACAAGATGCCAGAAGTTACTATTGCTTCCAGGTTTTTCTCTGTAGCTAAAAATTACCATGAAAAAAGATATGCACTTATATATAGTTACAGCTTTTGAAAATACTTCCTTTACTTGGCTTGATAAAGATAATAAGATGGAACTGGCAGTGATGAAATGGCAAGCTTCTGAATGTTTTCACAGCAATTCTAGACAAAACCCATTGACACAGGATGTGCTGCATCTGCGAGTCGAGTTGCAAGCCAAGGGATGTGCAGATTTATCTGCTGGGAAATAGCTTTGGACTTTCCAGCAGCTGTTTGTGGTGGCTGCATCATGCTGACATTGTGGCTGATGTACTGGGGGCGTTTAGCAGCTTCAATATCAGCTCGAATTAACAGATCAGTTAAAGCCTATATTTTAGGAAAAACGGTAGGAAAAAAGACCATGCATTCAGTGGCAAATATACCCAAATACTAACCTATTTTCTTTCCTGGTAGCTTTTTTGAGGGTAGATGAAGCAGAAATAATTATTTAATCATGTGTGTGTGTACATATACGCATACACATGTATTTGATTATATACATTATATATGATATATGCACAAAGACTCTGCATATAGTAAAAAGCTGGCATTTTTTTCTAACATATGAATTTTAATTATATTAAGCGTCCCCTTGTTGAAGCATTACAGGAAAACCTAGAGATAAGGCACCCTTCCCCCGTCTCAGTGCACTCAGGGAATGTTGACCCAGGGTTCCTTTTGGGCGGAGGAGTGAGTATGCCCCATCCCCCACACTCACCTGCTGACTACGTTGTCGCGAGCGCCTGACATATGTTTGGTGTTCAATGAATATTTGTTGACTGTATGAATGAAACATCAGTACTATAAGTATCTGTACAGAATTAAGTGGGAAAATAAGCTTATCAAATCAGAGACAGTTTAGTTGAAGAACAGAGAACTTAAACCTTTTGGAATAAATATGGTGCTTGAGAGCCAGTCCGCTTTCTGTGACTGAGCGGCGGGAGATCTGGGTGGTGAGGGGCATGGTGCTGGTGTCAGAGCTGGAGCCAGAACCCTGGGGTTCCAGCCTGAACTCGTTCATCACACAGCTCTCGCTGGAACGGTGTTCTACAGAAGTCAGCCTGAGAGGGTGTTCCTACTGGATCTGGTGAAATAAGTAGGAATAGGAATAATGACAATAATGGCTAACTTAGTCTATGCCAGGCACTGTCTCGATGCCTTCAACTCTCAAAACACCTATGAGAAAGATGCTGTATACAGAGGAATTCAGGTTGATGAAGACTGAATTGCATTGGAAGTAGTGATGTCGCTTGTACCCTAGAAAGTTGTTCCTTTAGTATTTAGGAATATATAAATTTTATGTAACTTAATACTGGTTTGGAGTTTACATATTAGAAATGGTTTTTATTTATAACTACTGATTTTTTCATTATTGGAAACATCATTATTATTATTAATAACGTGTGAAAAGTTGTGTGCCTATCTCTTTACATCTCATATTCCTCTTCCACAGGGAGAGCAAGGTTTAGAAGGCAGCAAAGGAGCAATCGGTGAAAAGGTAAATATTTCTCTTTACATACACGTCTGTAAAAATAAATTGTGTTCTTGAAAATATTTTGAGGTGGAATATCTAACTTGTTTTATGCTTTCCACATAAGCAATTTAATAAATTTGTAGAAATAATTTAAAATATCTGCTTCACTTAAGGTAGACAATATCTTGATGATTGTCAGAAATATTTCAAAATTTGATTGAATGGTAGTTATATCTAGATATTTCTAGTTAAATACATTCCATTGATATATAAATGATTCGAACATTTATTGAGCATTATGGTTTTGTGTTATAACATCATTGATACACTGTTTCCAAGTCTTTAAATAAATGCTGTGTTTGTATGTACACCTGGTGTATCAGTGGAATTTTTCCCGAGGAAACAAATAAAAAGAACTAACTGTAAATTGTCAGGGTCCAATAGAAAAGAGATGGCACACTCAGAATAGTTTGAAAGAGCTTAATAAAGGGATGGTTTGAAAGATAGAGGCAAGAAGTAGGGAAGACCACAAGGACTGTGCAATATCCCAGATCTAGTTATAGTGAATGCCTTCAGCCCCGCAGGGTTACTGGTTACCAGTCTCAGAGGCAGAGACTGAATGCTGTGTGGAGAGGGCTGCAGACTGGAGCGAGAGAAGCAGTTAAGGCAATGTTCAAGCAACCATTGTTTTACAAATTGTCAGCTTTCTGCTGAAAGTACAGAGAATAGAAGTGCCTCAGCATCCAAAATTTCCTGCCAGACAATCATTTGAACCCTTCTGCAATTCATAAGTCTAGTTTTACTTTTAAATAGAACAAACAGAGTATCATTCCTTTGTTTCTTGAAATGTCCTGTAATTGGAGGGCGAGAGGGGGGCGGGAAGGGGAGGGAGCATCTCCAATTAGACTGTGGTGCCTGCAGTTAGTCTGGGCAGTGATCATTGAGTATTTATAGACACAATGAGCATCTATTATAATTATCAGACAGATTACATGTGTTGTAAGCTACTTGCCAATTACTTTTTCTCATAAAACTGTGAGGGAGAAAAAAGGAGAGCCGTATAGCAATCATATAATTGAGGAGAACTCCATCAAGTGATGTCTACTTTTTGAAAGTGGATCTCTCTTTTTAGGAATCTCTTGAATATTTTTGCTTTAGAATAACAGTCATCACAAGGCCATGCCTTTAAATAAATGCTTTATTTACGCCTATTCCTGTTTTATTAATGGGACTTTACCTGTAGAAATAAGTGAGAATAAGCAAGGAAAACAGATATATTTCTCTGTAACTTCAAGTCACCATCTCACTAATATCTCAGTGGTTATTTTGATATTTTATATATATAGTTGATATTGCTCGGTAATAAATATATTTTCACAGGTGTAGGGGAGGAAGACATTTCCTCTACCCACTCTGGGTCCTTCTGGCCAGGCTATGAATTAAATTGACATGAGACAGAATAACAGGAGAAAATCAAACAAAGCTTTATAACATGTCTACATGAGAGAGACTCAGGAAAACTGAGCAACTCACCAAAATGGCAGAGGCTCTCGTCTTAAATACCCTCCTCAGCTAAAGACAAAGGAGGATGTTGAGGGGGTTGGTCTGGGATTTCAGAGGGGAGGAAGGCAATTTACGTGGACACGGAAATGTGAATGGGCCAACTACAGACAATGTGACCTGGGAGACACATTTCACCTGACCTTACAGTCATCTTAAGGTATTAGCTCCTTCCTGGAGCAGGCCATTCTGTTTTAAATTCTTTTAGGCCATTGCAGGGGAGAGGGTTATGTCAAAGTTTCTTTCAGAGTCTTTTTTTCTTAAAATTAATCAAGCCAAAGAGACACTTTTCAGGGTGGCCCATTCTGATCCCCCACACAGGCTGTGAGATATAGAAAAACGTTCAGTATATTTGGCTTCAAAGATTTTCCTTCTAATTCCTCATATCTATTAACTGTTGCCTTCAAATAGTCAATTTTAATGTAAGGTGAAAATATTTATGGAGAATGATTGAGATATCAGGAAGAAATAAAGCATCAAATAGTAGACAGTCTTGAGAATTACAATTCAAATGGTTTATAGTCAAATGTAATATTGACATAATAACCTTTGTGTTAAAAAAAAATCTTCTGGCTTTGATGATTACTTACCATATATCAAATATTTGGGGTTTTTCAGTGTTACATGCTGTGTATTCTGATCTATGACCATGTGTATTTTTCCATAAGATAAATAATTGAGGTCATCTTTTTGTTTCTAGATTAGACACTTTTTGTTTCTAGATTAGAGTTAAACAGGAAAAGTACATGTAGCACTCACTTTTGTGTGACACCAGCATGAGATCTTGGACTGCATAGAACATAATTTTTTCCTGAACAAGACAATGTAATTGGAATGTCAATTCTTTGTGGAAAACTGGGTACTTAATTACAATAAGACCTACCTTTCTTCTTTAGTTACCTTTTTGTGGCCTTCACTGTCTTTAAAATTTGACTGTTTCAAGTGACACATTCACTAGTTGCAAAATAAAATAATTCAGGCGTTGTTCAGAGTTGTCATATCTACCAAGGGCATATGGCTACTGATCAACAAAGGAAGTTGATCAACTGTCAAAGAGAAAATACTATGTGATAATTTTCAGGTGATATATGGCTAGAAAACTAGCATTTAGGCCAGCTTAGCTCTTAGACCAGACTGACCAAGTGGTTCCTCAAATGTCAGACATGCTGTCCTTAGTCCAGAGAAGAACCCATGAAACCTGAACAAGGATAGGGGTCCTCATTTGAAGGTGTATTCCTGATCTATAGCAATGTAGGCCAGAAACTCATCTATTACCTGAGCAAACACAGTCCAGCGAAGTCAGTCCTGAGATGAAAATTACTTGAAGGGGTCATTTGTTCTCTCAAAAATTAGATACTTAGCTGGCAGGACTCTCCCAGAAGACAGCTATTTTCAGGTGTACCATGCTCTGGTTTATCCTTTAGATGACAGGAATGCCCCCATCCCAGTGCTCCATTCCTGGCGGGCAGAGTCAGGCGAGCATCACTCCAACAGCATCTCTCATGAGGCCGGAGGGAGGAGGGCTCCATTCTGGCTCCTCTGTTTCTATAGTAGTGGCCTTAAATATCCCTTCCTCGGGGGATTTTCCTCAGTTCCTCCAGCGTTACTGTCCTAGTAGTGAACAAAATGGAGAGTCCACTCTTGAGGTGACAGTTGTCTCCAAACCGTCAGCCTTCTGAGCGATGGGGCAGCCAAACCGTTGTTATACGACCAAGTGTACAAGCATGAACTGAACTCTGAACGTCACACATCACCTTAGATGGAGGCCATCTAGCAGGAGTTCATTGAGGTGACCTTCGCTCCTGAACCCTGAGCCCAGGTTTTACTTTAGCTCTTTGTGAAAAAGGAATGTTACTTGGTTACATTTATGAAAAGCAGCAGAAAAGAGAAAAGCAAATGTAAGCATCTGCTTGGTTATAGCATCCGTTCTTTTTAAGTAATCGCTTCAAATCATGTAATTCAGTTTGCTTTTAAAATTGCCAGTCTTTTATGTTGTCATTCACGCCCTGACTAATTTAAAAATTTATTTCCTCGGCATTAAACTTGATTCTGCTGAACTCTATTGTTAAATATCATTTGATTGTGAGAGAGAAACATCCAGTGGCAACTGCTACTCATGCCACACTTTTCCTGACATTTTTCCTACATTTTCTAGCTGAAAGGAGGTCAGTTTTGGTCCATTCAAGAGTGACATTTAAGTTAACATGGGCACATGTGGTAGTGAATCCTGACAAGGGTCTAAGAGGTTTCAGCTAGTGTGGAACTTTTCCATTTGGGGAATTAAAATGATTTGGCCTCTTGAAGATCTCTTAAGTTTAGTGAAAAGAAAAAAGAACAATAAAATGAGTCCTTCTTCATGAACCACACAGCTCAAGGAGGTGTGGACAGTGCCAACGCTTGATGAATTCTGTAGCCGAGAGTTCACGGTTAAGCACGTTCTGACTAATGCTTGTTTACACTTATGGGCGTTACCTACTGTGATCTTCATTACTGATCTTTTCTTCCACTCTGAGTTAGACTAATAACAATAAGCGCTACCACAAAACTAACAAATACACTTGGATCCTGCTTTAATTCCTCTCGTAAAACTTTAGAAAACTGGTTGTTGTAAGGTTCCACTGACTTGTGATTCTTGTTGTCTTGTTAAGAGTGTTTTCTGGGTCTTGAAATGACATATAAGATCTTTAAAGCAGAAAATTATATTAGATATTGATTACTCTGGTTTTATAGCTGTTTCAAATATTTTTACCTGACAGATCCACTGGAAAAACATCCCCCTAATACCTATTCTTATTTGACTAATTTAACCACATATTATTGTAGAATTCTGTATAAAATGTGATATTTAAATGAATAAATTGTTAAAATGTTTATTATAACTTAGGTTAGAGTGCAAGTATACTTTATTACTCCAGTACTTTCTGGGGTTATTTATAATGAAGCCATGCATCCAGTCCTTTGTGCTTCTTCCATAAGCAATCAACACCAGGTGACTTTCCAGTGACATAATTCAGATTTTCATGGGCCAGCCTGAAGTAAAATCTGTTTAGGCTCAGTGTTGACCTCACATGTGGTGGGCAGCCTTCGCCTTTGCTGGTCACTCTGGAAGATGTGGGAGGAGGAAAGAGAAAGGTCCTTACCCATCCATTTCATCGCTTCATCATTCATTTTGGTTTCTAGTCAAGTGCACGTTGAAGAGCAGCACTGAATCCATTTCCTGTTATTCTGTTGCTTTTTGTTTTCAGTTTTAAATATGTGTCAGCATCTGTGACGTATCCTACACAGTCCTGATACATAAATTCTAGGCTGATGAGCCTGATGTGAAATTTATTCAGTACTATTTTATTGATTTCTCATAGATTGATTTAAATTTCATGCTTAATTCATAACAAAGTTAGAAGTTGTCTATTTTTATACTAGTACCACAAATGATTTCACCTGCCAGTAAATAACTAAAATATTGA